AAAAAAAAAAAAAAAAAAAAAAAAAAAATCATATTTTTTTGGCCATCTCTTAAGGGGAACTCTGTCTCTGTTGTGCTGGAGTCAAAGAACCAAAGCATTGCTCATTACAATTAGCTGGTAAAGGCCCACAAAAAAAAAAAGATTACAATGTTTAAAATTGAATATACTAATTATCCTGATTTGAGCATCATATATTACACACAGTTATTAATATTCAATGCTGTACCCCACAGATATGTACAATCAATTATGTTTCAATTTTAAAAAATAATAAAATAAACAAATAAATAAAATAAAGGTAAGAAATCTGGGAAAGAAATTTTCCCTGTCCTTCGAGTCCAGAAAAGTGGGAAACCTTAATGCTGAGGCTGAAAACCTAAACTTTAGCAAAGACCACTCTGATCTCTCCTTCTTTCCTTCACTAAGTAGACTGGCTACCTAATAAATTCTCCTTTGTATTTTAGAAAAAGAGCATCAAAGAACTGAGTTCACTGAACAAGGAGGAGTGTCTGCCCTTCACCTTCCTCCAGGAAAACATTGGCTCCTACTTCACACCACAGTCGGCTGCAAGTCACAGATGACTCATCTGCACCTCCAGCGTACCCGGCAGCCTGTGGGAGTGACAAAAGAGCTAGGCAAAGGAACAAAACACTCATTTTCAATTTGAAATGTGAGTGTGACTCTCAGTGAGGTAAGAGACTAAATGCACAAATGGGCAACGGCCAGACATGTGTGGCGATAGACTCGGACCTACAGCCCCCACGGCAATTGGCCCAGACAGTCAGGACATGGCCAATGATGCCAACTGCTTTGTCTTTTGCCCCCACTGGGCCAACCCCAGTAAGGGCCAGCTAGGCTCCTCGTACCAATCATCTCCTGCTTCCCCAGGCTGGCAACTTCGACCAAAGCACCCCTGAAGCCTTCCCTTTTTCGCCATCAAGCTTTCCCACTCCTCTGCCTGCCTTTGAGACTCTGCCAAACAGCTGAGGTAGAGACCAACTCCCCCGCTAGAGCAAGCTCTGAATAAAGAGCCACTATCCTTTCTCGTTTGGGTGGTCTTCATTTATTTCCATAGAGAACAGCATGTAAGGAAATATCTTCTCCCTATAACATGTTGCCTTCAACCAGCAAACCCATGGATTTTGTTTCCAGTGTCATCTGTCCCTTTAAAGTGCATGCAGTTTGGGCTGTAGAAAGCAGGGTTCATTACAAAGTTCTAGGCTGAGATACATTTCTGGGGAGCAATGATCTCAGTGCCTATGGGTTTGCTGCTTTCCTAAACACGTCCGACCGCACCTGTGTGCTCATGTATCTCAAGATGTAGCAAGGCAATAATGGTTATCTCTTCCGGGAGGCCAGCGGGGTAAATGCTAGGCTCTAAAATTAGGGATGCTTGCATGTGGAAGCTGGATGCATTCTAGGGAAGCTGATCCGGCTGCATGTGCAGACAGAAGAGGCTCAGTGGGGTCTGGTGTTCAAGAGGTGTGGCAAGGAACTGTCTGAGTGAGATCATGGAGGGGAATGTGGGGTGACAGGTGTTAACAGGCTAGAAGAGCAGGTGGTAGGCAGAGCTGGCTTCTGGGAGGCCTGAAAGCAGGCAACAGGACACTTGTCACTCATCTGAGTTTAGGTCAAAAGCAGGACAAGGCCCAGATCCTAGAGCAGGATCCTGTGCCAGGCAGGCAATCAGAACAGAGACTCAGGACTCAGGAACACGGTGGGGGAGGGGCAGGTTGGAAGCATTTGTGTGTTTGGATTCTAGGGCTGCATGCAACAGACCTAACGCTTAAAGTCTAGGGTGATCCTTCGCCCACTCAGAAATTGTCATCCTCTACGGGAAA